CAGGTCTTCTCGTGTATCCGCAGACAAGTCTTCGGCGAACTTTCACTCGCCTTCATATGTAGGACACGCCAGACATTCACCAATTCCCACATCAGTTGCATCGTTGCCGCGCTCCTCAATGGTTGCGTCCAATCATAACATTCCCCAACTTTTGAGCACCAATTCTGTCACTAATCCTAACATCAGATCCGGTGCTCCAATCAATCCTATGATACCTAATGGTTCGCCGTCCGGACAACTATTTCCACGATTGCCGGGAAATATAGGACGTCCAATGCTGCCGACCCCTACATTCAGACCCCGAGTGCCGGCGCCAAACCTGTTAGGAGCCGCACAAATGGAAATGTTGCTCCGAATGCAGTCTAGTTTCGCAGATCTTAGGCATCCATTACCGCCATTTCCTCCACACCCTCCTGCCGCCCATTCCTTTCCAGGTCTGCCTCATATGAATGGTATGCTCCGTTCCAACGGAACCCCACTAATACAGCCTTCACTACAGACTAACGGTTCACTGCCGGCGCCGCACATATACCCGAATTTACCACTACTGCCGCCCATCACTATTATGGTTCCCTACCCGGGTATGTCTAATGGACAGGCACTTTTTTATTATAAAGTACTAATCTAACCATTTTTCAATCCTAGTACCGCTTCCAATACCGATTCCTATACCGGTGCCCATACTGTTCCCCATCGACAAGAATTCAAAATCAGAAAATGTTAACCAAAATCATAACAAAAATAGTAATAATCAGACAAATATCAGCTCAAGTAATGACGTGACCACTACTTCTCATAATTTAAATGGAGGTACTCTTACGAGCTCTACCACTACCACTACCAGTCCTGTTTGCACCGCCAGTAAAGTGGAGTCAGTTATCTCTAAACTCGTTGAGAGGAAGACTAAAGCAAATAATAATAGCAATCATTTAAATGTCAATAATAGTCACAAGAATGGCAACTCAAGAGTTGGTGAAACTGATGATAAAAAGAGTTGTCACGAAAATGAGGACCATTTAAGTGATAACGAAAGTGGAGAAGTGTTGCCACAAAATCTAGTGGTCCCTCACAATCGCCGACCCCTTACAGACACATACAGTCCTCCCGTTCTTAACAGTGGATATCATTTGTAATGACAGACACCTTAATTAATACAACATTTAATAATATATTTATTTATTTATTGCTTCAATATATTTACTGGAATTAAGTTTTAACATTAGATCTATTGATATAAATCCTTATAAATATGTTTCAATACAAATATTTAATTATGTATAAGTTACAAGATTATTTGTTTTTAACAAGACAATTTGTTCAATTGTATGGTATTATTGATGTAAATAAATAATAAATGCAGTTCTTATAAACAGTTATTTTACCATTTATTTTTGTGGGTTTTTTTGCTAGTAAAATATTTATACTATTCATAATGATTTAAAAAATATTTAGCAAAAGTTTTATAAACTGAATGCATTACAAAGTAAAATTGTTATTATATTTAATTGTTTATACACTCTATTTAGATTGAATTACTGTAATAGCTTTAACGTAACTTTATGCTAACAAATAAGTTTTTATTTTCAGGAACTTATAATGAATTTATGAAAACAACAAAGTTGTCAATATAATTTCATTATTAAAATAATGTCTAAAAATGTTAATATTTTATTTTTGTAAACATTTTGTGCGTGTAATTTGACATTTAATATATGTTTACACGAATAACGAAAGCAAAAATACAGTAATTAATAAATATTACTGAACTAAATAGCCATTAATTTTCAAATTTTTTATAATAATCAAACTATTTTTACGCAAGACTATTTTTAGACCTACAAAAAAATTATTAAATTAATATAGGAATGTAAGGTTAAGTATAAACTCAACAAAACATGAATATAATAATCTCCAGTGACTTTCAATACCTTTAAATGCTTTCTAAATTATAATAAATTATAAGCATAATAATCAATACACCTTTGTATAGATGTTTTGTGTAATAAAAATAATTATTTATTTTTCTCATCACGGTTAATTAAAAATACTTTCATTAATGTATAGAAAAAACATATTTATAATTAATAGCAAAAATATCAATACACAGACTGCACGCCAAACACAACACACACACAGAATATTCTGCACAAACTCTATGGGATTCTGTGTGTCATTCATGACTGCATTCGTGACGACATGTGTAGGCAGTGAGTGGTAACCATAGGAACTAGTAGTCTTGGGAATGGGATCAGACTATAGTGACACCAAATACACACATATTTTAATCAATTCTCGTTTCTTGTCGTCTGATCCCAAGAACTAACACTACGAACGAGTGATCAGATTGTGGTCAGCAATGAACTGTTGGACGTCATCGACGGGCAGAGACTGTTCCGCTGGGAATCTCTTGTGCGGCGGAACCACTCATTCGTCCACTTCTTCCTCAGCACCACAACCGTCACAGTCGTCTTCATCGTCCTCGTCGTCGGCCATCACCCCATCGAAGGCCAGCAGTAGTTCATCGCGAGTGTCGACAATGTCTCGTGTATTGGATTATCTGTATATATCTTCGGCGCGATGTATCACATATGCAAACATTAATAAATACAAAATCACTCATATTATCAACGCTACCATCGAAGTCCCCATTATTCACTTGAATGGCATTAAGACCATTAGAATTCCCGTATTTATCACATGATTTACATATAAACTCTAGTCTATTATCAATTGATTCCTTATGATGTCTTAATTGGTGTTTAGGTTAACGACAAAATAGATGAAGACATCGCCAGATATTTCGACGACGTCTCGGACTTCATATACGACGTGTCCAACAGTGGCGGAAGAGTTTTGATCCGTAAGTTGTCCTCTCATATGATCACATCAATTATGACTAACCTATTGGTGTCTTATGTTTGTGATGACAGACTGTATGGCAGGGATCAGCCGTTCAGCCGCTTTTCTTATCGGTATGTAATCATTGAGCACTTGTCCACTAATTATCTTAACAATTATCACTGATTTGTTGTGGAAATCTCATTGAATGACAGCATATTTGATGAAATACTTGCGAATGAGTCTCAAAGACGCCTACAATTTGTTACACAAGAAGAGGCCAATCGTTCGGCCGAACGGATCCTTCTTTCGACAACTGATTGACTTCGAGTGGAGACTCTTCGGCAAGAATTCGGTGAAAATGATTTATTTGGATCACATGAACATCGAAGTGCCCGACCTTTTCGTACACGAGTACAAAAAGATGGTCCTCTTGGAGGCCATCATCGCCCGCACCCGACACTCGCATCACCGCAGCTATGGATCCAAAGCTAATCTAATTGATGGATAAGTCACTCGTGTTTTCCAATTAGTTTTCGATTCGGTATTTAATTCATTTGTAATCCTTAAACTAATTTATAATTGATTTACATTGATCAATTTTGAGTGCTATTGAGACATTTCTAACAAATTGATACAATGAGTGAAAAGTATCTCGAAATTGCGAACAAACATTATTTTGGATTCACTTTTTCCTCAATTTTGGAGACATTTTCTTCATTTGAAGTATTTATTGATTAAATCCTAGAATTTGTTTAAATGTTTATACATTCATATGTCGTACCATTAAGTGATCGTTTAAAAGGGTTTGTATTAACGGCTTATTTGTCACTCAAATCTCGTGTGAAGTGCTTTAATATTAAAATTATTTATTAAATGATATAATAGTTTCGGACGTAATTCCTATCGATTCCTCAAATTACAAATTGTTATATTTAGAGATATTTGATACGAGTACAAAAAGATGGTCCTCTTGGAGGCCATCATCGCCCGCACCCGACACTCGCATCACCGCAGCTATGGATCCAAAGCTAATCTAATTGATGGATAAGTCACTCGTGTTTTCCAATTAGTTTTTCGGTATTTAATTCATTTGTAATCCTTAAACTAATTTATGATTGATTTACATTGATCAATTTTGAGACATTTCTAACAAATTGATACAATGAGTGAAAAGTATCTCGAAATTGCGAACAAACATTATTTTGGATTCACTTTTTCCTCAATTTTCGAGACATTTTCTTCATTTGAAGTATTTATTGATTAAATCCTAGAATTTGTTTAAATGTTTATACATTCATATGTCGTACCATTAAGTGATCGTTTAAAAGGGTTTGTATTAAAGGCTTGTTTGGAAGTATTTGTCACTCAAATCTCGTGTGAAGTGCTTTAATATTAAAATTATTTATTAAATGATATAATAGTTTCGGACGTAATTCCTATCGATTCCTCAAATTACAAATTGTTATATTTAGAGATATTTGACAAAATGTTAGTGATTTATGTATTATATATACCGTTACTATATATAATATATTTGAGACCGAATTCCAATTCAATAAATCTATTGATTATTTTTATGCTACAGTATTATTATATTTAGTTTCAATAAATACACATAAAAAGAGATTATATGTTAGATATGGCTGTGAATTATTTGACACACAATAGACGTATTGATTACTAAATAATGTTAACAAAAATCTATTGGTTTGATGCAAACTATTCGCACAGATATTAGTCTCGACATTACATTCACTCATACAATCAAATACAATACGATATAATAAACTTCAAATACTAAACGATATTCTTATAGTCACTAATCTAATATAGTGTATAGAAGTCTATATTTGATTCATTCAATCGTTAAGTCCTAGATTATTTACAGACCGTTTACTTTGATCACAAATAGAGAGTTCACTATCAAAAAGGGTTATCCGTTTCATTAATAAATATGCAAAACATTAGTTTTGAAGTTTATTATGAACTCAATCTATATTTAATAGTTAATTAATTATTCATCTCATATTTTATTGTAATTTAATATAAATATTGTTTTCTATAAATTATAAATAATATTATATTTAGAATACAGTATTAATTTTAAATGAATAAAGTATTTAATAAATGATAATCCAATTCATGGTTAACTGTATTAACAGTATTTGTATCCCATTATATTCTGTAATCTTATTCTGTGATTAATAAACAATTTTTGAAAATCAAATAATTTAGTATTTTGAATTATATTTAGAAAATATATAGCAATTAAAATTATTAAAAATAAGTACTTTTAATATTCAATTATTTGTGAAATTTCTAACCTTTTGTTTCGGATTTCAATGTTTAGATTAAATAAGTTATGAATTTAAAAATCACGTACAGTATGAAGCTGAATTTACTGTGAATATCATACATTGAGCCATTTACTATTATTATACTGTATGCAAAGAATCATTGTTTGCATTTAATATTTCTATGATTTACGGGACACTCGTGTAATACAGAGTTTTTACTCGAAAACAACTGTCCGTCACTACAATAAGTATCACTTGTTTGGTCTGAATATAGTTTCAACCACAATGTTTCACACGATTCACATTCAATGTCTGTTTTATTAATATTTTGCCAAAAATGAAGACTATTTGAGTGATTGGAGTCGAGAAAAGCACTAAAAATGGTTTGATTTAAATGCTTCAATGGATTGTAGTTAAGGTTTAAGTCGACGCTTCTGTTAGTTTTGATTTTGAAATCCTTTGCAAAACTTTGATCCGTCAGTCGATTGTTTGATAAATCAATGAATAATTTATTTTCATTCGTAGAGGTCTTGAATTCAAAAGCGTTTGAGTCAATGAAATCCAGTTGAAGGCAACTTAAATCTAAAATTAAGAGTTTTAAAACAAAATTAATTTAAAACTAAATAATATTACAGTATATTTAAAAACAATACCCAAATGTATTAAATTATTTAAGTTATAGAAAGCCCTCTCCATAACCGACTTAATCGGCGAATGATTACAATTCATGTCAAATGAGATTCGTGTCAACTCTTGCTGATCGCCACTAAAGGCATGGCTGGGAATGGATGTGAGTTGAGTATCACTTAAACGAAGTCTACGCAAGTGTTTCATCTTTGAGATGACATCAAATATAATGTCATCACTCAAGTCATTACTGCCACTGATTTCAAACTTTAGGCATGGCTGGGAATGGATGTGAGTTTAGTATCACTTAAACGAAGTCTACGCAAGTGTTTCATCTTTGAGATGACATCAAATATAATGTCATCACTCAAGTCATTACTGCCACTGATTTCAAACTTCAGTATATTATCCTCAATACCTTCGAAGGCATTCTTGTGAATAGTTTTCAGTTGTGAACAGTTGTGAAAAGTAATTGTTTTAAAAGTAATGTTTTGTAGGAAATTGGGTCCAATTGTATGCATCAAATTGCTTTTCAAATACAATTCATCGAAATGCTTTTCATTATCCGCTAATCCGTCACTCAATATGTTGACGACAGTGGGAAAGGCGTTGGTTTCGCAACTAATCCACCGCTCATTGTATGAAAAATCACATTTACATCCGTAAGGCTCTATTAGTACCGAAAATGGACAGGCAGTACACACCTGAGACTTAATGATTAATAATACTAAACATGAAAACTGTATAGACTTTGCGTTCATTTTTATATATACTGGTAAAAACTTTTCATTCATTAGGAAAGTTATTTCTGAATTAAATTCGTGAACAAAAGCATAAATAAAATTTAATGTTTGAAAACAAATGTTGTATTTACTGGTAATACTGTATATGATATACCTGTATGACGAATTGGCATATGTTTTAATAAATAATATTTTATAACTTTATAATGCAACCATGAATTACTAACACAAAGAAAATACTGCATATATTCCCATATATTTTATTGTTTTTGCAATTCAGTAAATGATAGCACAAGTGGTACTATTGGATACCATAACAGATTAGATAGTAATAGGAATCATAGTATTTAAACACTTGCTTATCAATTATCGTAACTCAATATATTGTCCACAAATATATCAGTGAAAACTTTTTATGATACGTACGATAAAGATTCTACAGGGTACAAACATTTTCTACTTAATCAAGAATTTAAAAATCGCAAATGAATTATGTTTTAACGTATTTGTTTAATAGTAAGATTAATTTTGAATGAAAATTAAAACAATCCCACTTATACAATAAGTGCTTGCTATGATACAGTGCAGTTCTATATTCAGTTATTTATAATAAAAGTTGTAGAATTTTTGAACATGCTTAATCATCACTATAACACATACTAATAAATCCTTGAGACAATTAATGCTATTCCGCCAAATATACAGTACAAGTGATATACTTCACATTTTACTAAAAATGATTTTAGGGATCAGTTCACATGTACAGCACGGTATATACAATCATGTATCATTCAAAAAACTGCCCACAATACCACAGATCAAAGTTCACTAAATAGTACAGTATAGATATGGGACAGGGAGGGAGGGAAGAGAGGACTACAATAAGATTATATGCGAACAGAAGGTCTACGATATCATCCAAACAAGTATTGAATGCAAAGATATATCCGTT